CCCACTTCCTCAACGGCGAACACCTAGATACTCATTTCCTCGACGGCGAACATCTAGACACCAACTTCCTCGACAAACATCTAGACGCTTAATTCCTCGACGACGAATACCTAGACGCTTAATTTCTCGACGGTGAACATCTAGACACCAACTTCCTCGACAGCGATCACCTAGACACCCATTTCCTCGACGGCGAACACCTAGACACCCACTTCCTTGATGGCGAACACCTAGACACCCACTTCCTTGACGGCGAATACCTAGATACTTAATTCCTCGACGGCGAACACCTAGACACTCATTTCCTCGACGGCGAACATCTAGACACCAACTTCCTCGACAGCGAACATGTAGACAACACCTAGACCCATACATATGAACACGAAAAATATTTTTAAATATTCATTTTCTACAAATAAAGTTTCAAAAAGTTTCATATTAATACATTAATTCATTTTGTTTAAAAAAAACTCCTGAATAATAATTTAATTTTTAACCTTACAAACCTGAATATCCCCTTAATATCTTCACTATTATATAGCGAATCCTAATGATTACTTATGGAATTATTTGTTCAGTAGTTCACCGTTACACCATGACGCTCATATACCAATACTCAACAGCCAGCACTTATTATAACGCATTTTTACTTTCAAGTATTCCGAAACGTTTCTAAAGTACATTTTAGCATTTAATTATACCTACTTCCTCATTTTTCTTAAACTTGAGCGTATTATCACACGAATATACGAGTTGTTTGCTATTTATCATTTTATTTGACTGCATATATTTTGAGTTATGCAAATTTAAACAATTGCATGGTATTTTGCTAATGTGATCCTCTGGGGTATCTATGAAGTAAGTTTACTCGCTTTTTCCAATTAGCAGCTTTTTCTGTTTGTTTAGAACTTGTAACAACCGTAACCTTATCAGCTCAGCGGCGAAATTGGGAAAGAGCAAGGAGTGGGGAAAAGGAATAAAAATGGCTAATGCGAATAACTTATACTATATAGTGCTCTAACAAAATTTGACTTTTTTTGTATTTGGCAAATGGAGTGTCATTTCTCAAAAATTTTTGGCCCCTGAATTTGAATCTGTACTCAGAAAAATTCTATCACATCACATTTTCGTGCAAAATGGAGTAATATGAGCAAAAAATGACGATTTTGACCATATTTAGAATGGTATTGCAGTTAAGGAAATTTTATTTTGCCAATTTTCTCTATACTACCTTAAAGTGTTTTCTTTTACCTGCAAAATGAGTATTTTTTGTTTCTGTACGATTTTTTGTAACCAAGTTACGTGGATTTGAAGAAGCATACGCTGCCTCGCGCTGTCTGAGCATTCCTTTGGCGCGAAACACTACCGTATCTCTTGAACATGTATCACTTGTTTAAATGGTGAAATCGATCACTCGTACTACACTGGATCAGTGCATATTAGAAGCTGCTTTACATAAAATATCTCAATGCAGTGAAAAGTATTGCGATTTAAGACAACAAAAATTGAAAAAGTATAAGAAAAGATACACAATATTGTCTGAAAAAGTAGAAAAATATGTACCATTAGTAGATAGTTTATCGTTTAAGAAATATTTATACTTTTTTTATACTTTTACATTTAACTTTGTTAATTTCATTTAAAGCAGATTATAGTTTGCACTGATCTAGTATAGTGACCTAGCAAGTGACCGAATTCGCTATTAGACTTGATATTCCGACATTAGCATGACAGTCGCTAGAAGATCATTTAGCTACATGTGTTTCCGGAGTGCACCTCGGAAGCGATCTAAAACGTCGTTCCGAGGAAGAAAATTTTACTCGATATCATAGTATACGTTACATGTACTGTATACTTCGAATAAAATTTTTCTCGAAAAGGACGTTTTGGAACGTAGCTCGAGTAAGCTTCTTCGATTCAACTTCAGAAACAGTGATAACTTCAAACCCACGTAACTTGATCATAAAAAATGGTACGGAAATAGAAAAATATCATTTTGAAGGTAAAAGATAGCACTTTAAGATAATGATCGACAGACCAACGGCCACCGAGAGTCGAGGCGGCGGCGGATTAATTGTAAGCCAGTTATGTAAAATTAAATAAAAAGACAAAAAACCAAAAAAAAGGAGTATAGGTATATATAGATAATAGCATAAGCGGGGGTGAGCGTGTAGGCAAATTCTGAGAACAACATCATCTTCAGGGTTAAAAAATGCTTCGGAAATGATACTTCGCAAGCCAAAGAAATAAGTTAGACGTAAGACGCGGCCATAAGCCATAGAAGATTAAGCAAGAAGGCAACCGCGCGGCGGAGGCGCGGGGAAAGGAGTGAGCGGCATCCGAGGCAACATTAACCTATACTTTATATTATGTGTTCTATTTTTAGTATTCAAATTATTAGTGTTGAGTATCTCATATGCAGATATTATGTGAATCTATATATTTATTTGAATATATTGTTAAATGTTTTACTTTTTTGTGAATGTAGCGGGAAGCCAGGCCGACACCCGGAGTAAAGATTTTTGTGACGAAATACTGTTTTCTAAATAAAATTAGTATTATTAATCAAATTATTGTGCAAAATGTAAATACAAGAAAGGAGGAGGCAGAAGGATCGCGAGTGGACCGGACGCTTGGACACCCGCCAGACGAGACCGAGAATTCTATATGTAAAAGTCTGTGGCATTTGCATCGGCACCAATATATAACTATTATCTTCAGATCTCTCGATGAAATAATAAAACGTTTTGTCGAGTTCTCGACGAGATCTTAAAATTTCTTATGAAATTTTAGATAATCTCAATCTTGTTATGCTAGGTCTCGGTATCGATTTCGAATGTTACAAACGATCTTGTCTCATACTACTCCCTAACACACACACACACACGCACGCACGCACGCAC